CCCGCCGGGGGGGGGGGGGGGGCCTGCAAAATCCGATACCTGCCTCATTCACAGACAAAAGCCGACGCACCCGGAGTTGGCTGGCATAAGAACTCCCAAAAGTTGCCCTGAACAGCATTTCCACCTGAAAGTATTTTGCAGAGCCCGAAATCCGCAGGAAACTTGACCGGTAAAGCTTCGGGTGATGAATTGTTCCTGCTGATTTTCCATCGGCCAACGCAATGTGCTGACCAGGCTAAAGCCGACCATGGAGATTCAAAGTAGTTCGAGAGGATGACTGCCATGGTACCATTTTCTGGTTAAATCACCACATGAGTAATATAAAAACCGGCGTAGATCAATTAGTGAAGTGTTCAATGCCAAGGGATGGAAAGTGGGCGCAGGCAGTCGCAGAGTATAATTGCAAGACTATCCTTCACATGTATTCGCTTGACAATTGATGAGCATCCCAAATCGTCTCTGCTTTTCACTTGAAGAAGAATCTTGTTCCAAATATCTAAACCTAAATTTCCTACAATGAGTGCACATTCTGAGCCGACATCTCTCCCTGAAGCACCTCTCAGTGTCGTTGACTGGGGTCGACTCAAGTGCAATGATGCCAGTGAGAGAGACAAACTTGTCGCGGCGTGTGAGGGCCAAGGTTTCTTCTATCTGGATCTGAGCTGCGATGAGACTTTTTTGAAGGATTGGCAAGCCGTCCTTGACTTCATGGCAAGATACTTTCATCAGGATGTAGCAGAGAAAATGAAGGATGATCGCAAGAGCGACACCCATGGGTAAGTTTTGAAACCACAAGAGGGTCTTGGTCATAAGCTACGACTAAGCCTTGGGGAATAGTTATGAGCCCGTTGCAACCTCAACTGGCGCAGACGGAAATCACCTCGACTACTACGAGTCCCTCAAGGTATGATCGTGTAATCCCAAGCACAACCGAATACCCTACCAACCAGCACTCAGGCCTCCAGAAATGAGTTACTGGGACAAGACAGCAACCTTGCGCCCTCAGTCAAAGAAAACCACGAGCTCTTTCTCCGCTTCACCGACGCCGCGCAGCATGTATGCATGAGCATCCTCCGCCAGCTGGACGTTTGTCTCAACAGCGACAAACCCTCCAAGCTGGTCGACTTTCATCGAGAAGGCAAACGATCCCTCACAACCCTTTCCATGTTCCGCTACCCCAAGCAGGACACCCTCGCTCTCGGCGTCGGCCACAACAAGCACACCGACATCGGCACCTTGACTTTCCTCCTCTGCCAGCAATGGGGACTTCAGGTGCTGTCTAGAGAGCCCGCCGGATGGAGATTCGTCGCTCCCAAGCCACACCATGCCATCATCAATGTCGGTGATACTTTGCGCTTCCTCTCTGGTAACCGCCTCCGGTCGGCAGTTCACAAGGTTATTCCCACCCGTGGGCTGCAGCACGAAGACCGGTACAGCATTGCCTACTTCTTACGAGCCGAGGACAACATTCAGTTCACCGACAGCACTGGGCGCCACGTCTCGGCAAAGCAATGGCACGATGAAAAGTTTGATGTGTTTAGGGAGACGCATGAGGAGCAGGAGAAGATGCCCATTTTGACAGGCGGTATGGAACGCATGGAAAGCATTGTAGTTTAGAGTGACGTGAGGGCGGATATAACTGGCGTGTAAAAGAGTATTGTTCCATTGAAATGAGAAGATGTTTTGCTTCAGTTTATGCCTCTTCTCTGTGCTCAATGGAAGACATTAACTACATTACACGTTAGCCATGTCGCATCATAATTATTACAGTTGCAATGGCAGAAATACCACAGCCTCAAACTGGAGGGCAAACAATTTATCCAGATAGCTACATCTTAACGATGCCTTGACTTCCACGTAGAAGCTCTAGGCTTTGCGGATGCAGATGCTGTTGAATGATGCAGTTTGTGGAAGAATATATTTGCCTGACGAGTATACTGCAAAAGAACACCAACATATATACCGCAACACGATATATTATAATATAGAGCGCAATAACCATGTACTTGAGCTGGTTGAATACTCTATGCCTCCCACTATACACATAGCCTTCCCCCAAGTCATGTTTAGCTACGTGCTTTGAACAACACAGCTTCCAAGAAACTCATCCAACCTGCGAACCGCCTCGTCACTAATTTGGTAGTGAACGACTAGCCGCTTTCCCATGAGCCCAAGTCCAAATGTCTCGCCCCTCTTGATAAAGTCCTCCTCGCTCATCCCAACAGCGTCAAGATCCAGCCAAACCATGTTTGTCTCAACCGGGTAGAGCAGCTTGCCACCGTATCCCTCCCACAGACGGGCAATCTGCCTCGCCCGTGAATGCGCCAATTGCAGCTTACCACCCAAAAAGGTATCTTCCACAGCTACTCGAGCTGCCGAACACACAACTCCAGCCTGGCGCATGCCTCCGCCGATAGACTTCCGAAGCCATCTGGCCCTCTCGCGGAACACCTCGGTTCCAACTATGATGGAGCCGATAGGAGCTCCAAGGCCCTTGGAAAAGCAGAGACTAACGCTGTCAAAACACGCGCAGTAGTCCTGCAAAGATGCCGCCCCGGCTGCAACGGCTTCCCACAGACGAGCTCCGTCGAGATGCATAAAGACGCCGTGCTCCCGAGCCCACTTGCTGATCCTCTGACACTCGGACAGGGGCATGATGACACCCCCGAGGGGACACTCTAGCGATACCAGCCTTGTCGGGCAGTCTGTAACGAGGGTTCCTCTGTTCAGTTTCTTGCCGAGGTCCTCCAGGGTCAAGTAGCGCCCATTAGCCGGCTCGACGGTTTGAACCATGGCACCACAGAGGCTCGCGATGCCTCCAGCTTCATGCGTGACGATGTGGCTTCTGTAGTCGCACATGACGCTGTGTGGAGGGCCTTGGAGATGTGTCCTAATGCTGAGGAGGTTTCCCATCGTTCCGCTGACGACAAACAGACCTGCTTCTTTGCCCGTCAGTTGCGCGACCCACGATTCGAGCCCCAACGTCGTGGGGTCTTGTCGAAAGTCGTCGTCGAGGAGAGTGGTTGCGGCGATGGCGTCGAGCATTCGCGCAGTGGGTGTAGTCATTATGTCGCCTGTGCATAATCAGCCATGTTGTGTGTTTCATGGGAACATGGGAACTCGGACATACTGCGAAAGTCGAATGCGGCCGGCCCCGGCTGCTGCCAGTTGTTTTCCTTTGTTGCAGCATTTTTTGGTAACCCGTTTGACGTCCCATTACATAGATTTCCATTGGCTCCGTCCTCGCCAAAGCCTTGGATTGAAGCGATCATCGTGACGGGTGTCGGCTTACAGCTGTAATCCTGCTTCTTACTCGAATTTGGTCGCTGGAAGGTAGCCCACGGCTAACAAAAGGTGTACTACAGAAAGACATGTCTCCCAAGCCTTTGAACATACTCGGTCTTTTGTGTCATCTGACGATTAAATTCCGAGGGCAGCCTTGGTCCCAAGTCAGCCTATTCACTCGGACGTCGGGTTTTGATGTTGGAATCAAAAGCCATCAGGCGGCGCCTATGGTGGCCGGGTCAGACGGCGCAACATTTCATCAAAGACATTGTCTCATAAAGCCTTATAATGCTGAAACTGTCCCAATTTGGAAGCGGGCGGCTCTCTCGATCAGCAACCGGACCAAAAGGCATCCTAGTCGATACCCCTGGAGCGTCGCCAATGCCAAGTTCCTCATGGGTTGAGTGCCTCTGAATGAGTACTTGGAAATAGATTTGAAACATTTTACTCGTATAGATTGCAGCATGTGTGGATTGCGATACTTGAACCCATGATGAGGGCATATGTGGGTTGAGTGGTTGAGTGATTTTGCAGTGTGCCTTTGCAATAACTGGGCAAGGTGCCAAGGGATGAATTTCAAGGCCAGGCTGGAGATACTCGTGAGAGTCGTGGCCCCAATGTGGAAGAAAGCATCTTGTGCGAGATTTTTGATGACTTTGTAAATGTAATTTTCATCAAGTGTTGAAGTTGTTGTCGGGTAGAGAGGATAGTCGGGCGAGACATTATTGGAAGTTTCGCGCCACAAATTTGAGAGGCTTGGGGAACAAATAGATAGTCCGATAGCAGACAGCAGTTCTGTGCTATAGCCACGAAGACCTCGCTTCTGCGGGTGGCAAAGGCCAGAGTTGCTGCGTTGACCTTTCTCACCTCTTTCAACCTCCCGTGAAGCAATATGCCGTAACAAGGTATATTCCTCATATACGCAAAGGATGAATCTCGAATCATCCGACGTAAACCAGTATGCGAATGCTCTTAACCGCCGTGGCACCGGTGACGGCCACCCTATGACAACAATGTCTGCCCAGATCACAGAGACCATCTGTCCCGAGAGCTGTCCTCATAACAAAATCCGGGCAGAAATCGAAATTAACCAGCACTACACCTACAAGATATACACGCCTGGAAGCCTCATCTCCGGCCATGTGACGATTTCTACACCATCCGACGTTTTATTCCACAACATCGACATCTTATTCGTGGGCAGCGCGGCCACCCGAAACGTCGTCCAGCCAGATCCTGTGTGCGCAACAAAGTCCTTTCTGAAGCTGTGCATGCCAATAGACGAAGCTTCCTTTCCAACGGGGCATCTCTTCAAAGCCGCCAAGATGTACACCATTCCGTTTCATTTCGTGGTGCCCGCCCAGTTGCTCATGGGCTCGTGTCGACACCGTTGCCAGAACGCGGCAGTCCAAGAACGTCATTTACGACTCCCCCCCTCGATGGGATTCTGCCCCGGCGACGACCAGAGCCCCGATGGGGCGAGGATCGTGTACAGCATCATCGCTGTTGGTACGAGACACGTGTTGGAGCCGCCTATACCGGTGCGCCTATTCGCAGCGTACAAGACGATCCGGATTCTTCCAATAAGTCCCGAAGACGCGCCGCTCGACATCGCCGCCGACAATCGTCGATACGTACTTTGCAAGACGCAATGTCTCTGGAAGGCCTTCTTCACGGGGCGCGAAGGTATACTGACGGCATCGGCTTCACAACCCAAGGCCGTGATGCTGTCGCCAGACGAAACAGGGGCATCATGGTCCCTGGTGCGGCTCAAGCTGGTCTTCGCCCCTGCTTCGTCGCTCTACTCGCCTCCACGCATCAAGTCAGTGTCAGGAAAGATTATTGCCACGACCTTTTTCAATATCTCGCCCCTCAATCGGCTCCCCAGTGTTGAAACTTGGGGCAGAAGCGAGGATCAACCGTTCCAACACACGACGAGCTCCAGACTATTTGACGAGCAGGCCGAGGGACTCGTTTGGACCAAGGATGCCGATGCGGCGGAGTTGGAGCGACGGCGTGCATCGTATCCTCTGGATCCTTCACACACGCTCAACCGACCTGATGAGATCTTGACGCGCCACCGCACCGACGAGGATGGCGGCGCCAGACCGTCAATGTGCTTCACATCGGCCATGGACATACAGTTCAGCATTCCCGGCGACAAGAGCATCTTCTTCCCGCCGTCGTTTGATTCATGCCTCATCTCCCGGGTGTATACCTTACGGCTCACGATTTCCCTTGGAGCCGCCCACACGAACCTCGTCCTGAAGCTGCCTCTGCAGATTGGTGTCCAGGGCGCAACCCCCGATGCTTTTCGTGCTGGAGATGGCGGCAGCGAGTCGCAAAGGATAAGGGCTGCAGCGTGCTACAACGTACTGCCCGAGTACAGCTCAATATTCTGACCAATGCGAGTTGCTACGTCATCGTGATGCATGGGTGGTGTCTCCATCCTGCTCATGTCTACACCATAGCGAGTGTCGACGAACATTTACAAATCAGGTGCAGTCCAAATGACCATTTCTGACTCATAAAAAGGGCTTGGACGGCAGACAACGGCCCTGTGCCATGTCAATATTACTCCAAATGGCATCGTTTAGGCCCTGCTCGAGCCGTTGGATACCCCAACACCTGACGCAGAGGTATGCAGCCTGTTTGGCCAGGAACCGCATCAGGGAGGTGTATATTCTCGAATCATACATCTCCTCGGAAATCAACTCTAGCGGTGTTCAAACGGAATGGATCTGGTCAACCTGCCCAGTATTTCTGTGCCGGCCACAAACTTCAGCAGTCAACGCCGCTGGGTAGCAATCACTGGATGATTCTCGGTCGGTATCGGGCTTCGGGATTCCTGCACCTTGGCGGAAAACGTTCAGAGATCTGGGGAAACGGGCCGGTAGTCCCGTCTTCTCCTCATCTTGATCAGCTTCAAGTTGCGTGCATGACGCCATACTACCAAGATTGGCTGCTGACAAGCACATGCATCCGTTAAACAGCAGCAGTACCGCGTTGAAAGTCCCCCCTCAAAACGTTGTATTGCATCACCTTTTTTAGTATTTGCCTTGAAGGCTTAGTGCCACAGAAGATGGCTGGCTATAAGCTGGCATTTAGGTTACACAACTTGACGTCGAGAATCATGGGCCACGGGTGTAACATTGGGAGACGGTTCATAAGGCCCGGACTCTCTCGACAAAACAAGTGAAAATACTTGAAGGAAAAAATGCTTACAAGATTCAATATTGTTCTATTGACAACATGCGGCACTTGCTCTACACCTCTGTTGCCGTGGGCCGCCGACCGATGGCGAGTTTCGGGATGCGAAATGCGGCCATGTCGAGACGCACGGCGATGATCCGGCCGATATCCTCGGCGGCTCGAAACTCCTCAAGCAGTCGCAAGATGGTCGTTCTTGCTTTTATATGTGCGGGTGGCTTGGCGTACTCGGCTTTTCGTCGAGACAGCAGTTTGAGTCTCCTTGGGAGAAGTAACGCATCCGCGGGAAACCTCGTACGTGATTCAACTTGAGAAGGGGTCAAGGCATCTCCCGCCAAATTCCTACGCTTGTTGACGTAAACTCAGGCTTCCTCTTCCCAGGGTGTCTTCCCTAGCGTCGAGTACTATAAATCACTTGATGACGCGCAAACAGACGTCGACAAGCTTCCGGTAGAGGAAGCCCGACTAACAACGGCGCCCAACGTCCCGCCAGCCATCACGCGCAAGCATGCCGTGCTTCTCCGAGTGCCCTTGCAAACCATCACCTCCCTTTCCCAAGTGACGAATCAGTACAAGTACGAAGCGTGGACGTTCAACGGCACCACGCCGGGCCCCTTTATCCGCGCACGAGTCGGCGACGTGGTAGAGCTGTCCCTGACGAACCGCGACGTGACGGGGAATCCGCACAACATCGACAGCCATGCGTTCGCCGGGCCGGGCGGCGGATCGGCGCTCACCACGGCAGAGGAAAACGAAACAAAAACAGGCCGGTTCAAGCTCCTCTGCCCGGGGCTATACGTGTACCACTGCGCCGCGGCGCCGGTCCCCGTCCACATGGCCAACGGCATGTACGGGCTCATGTACGTCCAGCCGGAAGAGCAGGACCTGCCCCCCGTCGACAGAGAGTACTACGTCATGCAGAGCGAGATATACCACGAGCCGCCGGGGCTCGACGACGACGGGCGCCCCCTGAACGTCGTCGAGTTCTCGTACCCCCGAGGGCTGCGGGAGGAGCCCAACGCCGTCGTCTTCAACGGCAGGGAGTCTGCCCTCACGAGAGACGCGCCGCTCAAGGCCAGGGTCGGGGAGACGGTGCGCATCTTCTTTGGCAACGCGGGACCAAATCTCACCAGCGCCTTCCACGTCATCGGCAGCCACTTCCTCAACTGCTACCGCGACGGCGATGTGGTGAGCCCGCCGGCGCGGTTTGTCGGCACGACGAGCGTGCCGCCCGGTGGCACGAGCATTGTGGACATGAAGATGGTTGTCCCGGGCAGCTATACAATTGTTGACCATGCCATTTTTCGCATAGACAAGGGTGCTGTTGGGTTCATCAACGTTTCCGGCCCGCAAAGACCGGATATCTATGTGGGAAGCCTGCCTCCCCAACCTTGTGTTGGTTGCAAGTTGCATGCTTGATAAGGGGGGCCATCTGTGCATGTAAAGGAGCTTCACAGTCTGTCATAAACGTGGGCATGGGACTGACGTGTATTTATTCCCCCGGGCGTAGCAGAGCGTAAAAACTGTACACTGTGCCACTATAGTTGCAGTATATACTAGGATGTGCAATTACTGCAGTAATTGCAATACCAAGTGGTGCCTAAATGTTGAATAACATCTTGAATGCTGGAAAATCGGTACGCGACAACACCGTGGTTAGGCGTCTTGTAGCGGAATATCTAGCTTACTGTATGATAACGACGTCTCCGCAAGTGCACCAGACGCTACATGACACATTTCGCATCAAGTTGCCACAAGATAGCGCATGTCCTTTGCGGAATAGAGCCCCCAAGCCTCCCCAAAAAGTCTGGCTGGTATAGGAGTTTGATGTCTTGGTAATTGACTTCATCCGGAATGACGCCACCAGCAACAATCAAGCCAAAGAGATGAGGAACTTGCCCGGAAAGGCTGGCAATATTCTCCTGGCCGGTTGTATTGACTAAGAGCATGGCAACCTGGACAAAATCACTATGGAAATCCTTGAATTCTGGAGAACAGGTAGGTCCATATGGCGACACAGCTAGCTGCAGGCGGGTTATGGCGCGCCTCCTGGGTAAGAGACGAGCCTGGTACTTTGAACAGCCATGCCATGAGGGTGGAGAGAAGCGAAACCATGAGACGGAGGAGTATTGACTAAGTATACAGAAATCCAATCATGCGTCGTGCTATTCTTTCCCTTGGCGAGGCTGGTGGCTAAGAGATGGGCAGGGAAAAAAAATCAATAGAAAGCTGGAAGCTGGCCACTTGATGCCAGCTGCAATTGCGAGCGGCGGCCGTAACGGACCGCACTTGACCCAAATGAGTATCACCGTTGACAGCCCACTGAAGACCTGAGGACAGAGGAAGGTACGGAGTTTTCAGATCCCGAAGATCCGCGCCTGAGCGAGAAGAATGATTGGACTCGCGGAGCAGTCGACTGACTCTGAAAAAAGGTGGAAATTGCATTCTCGCATCAAGAGCGCCTCCGACTGACCATTCGACTCAGTCTCTTCGCCTTACTATCGACCCGACTCCACGACCGAGTTTTGCCCGCAGCCAGGTCAACTGCGTAGAAGCAGCGGTTCCAGGACCCGTTCGAGATAGAACAGACGGAAACGGCCAAAACGGCAATATGAGGCACGCGAATCAAAGGGGTGCAGCCCGCATCTCACGGTTCTTATTTGCCGTCACCTCGTCCGCAGTGCGCACGACAACGCAACCGCTGTGGCTGGGCGAAATTCAGTAGAGCCTTGCCCAGGTGGATCACGGTGGACATCAAAGGACACTTGAACCCGCCCTACCCGCAACGTCCCGCAACATTCAACGCTTGGCGACTGAAGTTTGCACCAACCAGGGCAAAGGCGCTTACAATATTCGGCAATGCCTAGTGTAGACTCCTAGAGCAAGCCTTTGGTAAACAGCAAATTACGTCTTGGCGTGTAATTAGCTCTTACAGGACGCTTACTTCGCAAGACCCTAGGTCCTGGGATGGACCGCGCTCCATCTGTCAGGTCACAATATTAAACAATTTTACCTGTATGCAGTCAGCGTCTCGGCTGCACAAGGGGCTTGCGTCAATTGGAAGCCACAATAAATGAGATGTTTGGTCCCAGGCGGCGAGATCGCGGCTGAACATCCATTAGTTGACAAGAGGGATTTTTTTCACTTCCTCCTCTTCCGGCATCTTCGCGAATTCTTCATAACGTCCAGCAGTACCAGTACTACCGACTGCCCAAGTAAAAGACCCCCAACTTGTTTGTACACCGCTTCTGCACGTCCGTACACCGCAACTTCAGCCGAAGATGCTTCGGAGAGCACGAGCTTCTGCGGCTCGGGCTGACGATTTGCATACATACGCCTTGGAATGGCCTCAATCACAGCGCTGGAACCCAGACTATAACGTCCCCCGCAACTCTCTCAAGGATGCTGACAGCCCGGCAGAGTCTCCAACACCGACATGGTCATCAACTCAGCCCAAGGAGAATCCAGTGGATACGGAGGCCACACCAAGGAGGGAAGGCGGCCGGTGTAATACTACGGTGCATGCCCAGAGCCATCGTGAGGCGACTGGTTTTAGATCTCAGCTGCCGGAATTATCTCATTGGCTTGAAACGCTTTCGGAAATTTACATGAATAATCTGGAAAATCGTGCGCGTTGGGACCCCCGCTGGTTGAGCATTACCCGACGTGAGCGGCACGAAGGCCTTGCGTCCAGCACAATTACCATCCTTGACTACATCAACGACAAATCGGGACCTCTAAAAACGACTACTACCGAAATAGCTCAACTATGTGTCGCTTTGCAGGAAAGACCGGAGGAATGCGCGGTTCGAGTGTTGATGGTGAACGACTTGAGTCGGTTTGTCATGGGTGCCTTGGGACAGCTGTATGCGGTTGATCCAGAATTTTGGTTTGACCATCTCACGAACTCTGGTTACGCCGCAAGCGACAGTCAACTAAAAGTCTCGAGCGCAGTATGGATGAATTGGGCGGAACGAGAAACTCGCTTTCGTCATCGTTCGCTCCCGGGCATCGGTCAACGTACTCAGTGGAATACTCCAAGCAGAACTAAAGGTCGGAATTGGGGACATGTTAGATGGGCACGGCTAGGCTTAATGCATTATTTGGGGAAGAAGGGCTTCAATGAAGACGAGATCGAGTGCCGGCTTGGCGATGGCAGGTGGCTAGTCGAACGCGATGTGTTTCTGGACAAGTACGGATTTTTCATGACGCGGCGCAGACTACTCAGAAACGCTCAGTTGGCGAAACGGTCATCCAAGAAAAAGCCACAGGACTTATACTCAAGAGCCAAAGACTCCAACATCTACCGCGCATACAGTACCTTTGACGGTCTGCCCAAGAATGTGACGGCATGGAGGAACCGCGATTTGAGAGTCGTGGCTCCAGAAGGCGCCAGCTACTGGTCTGGAGCAGATGAGCAAGGCCGGCGGATAGGTAAAACACTGCATCTAAGAGTTGAAACAGCCCATGTTAATCATGCCATGCAGATATAATTGTCTTCGACCCCCCACGTCGAATGAAGGATGGCATAACGAACGAGGCAATTCCCTCTCTTACCTTCATGCCCAGAGCAATCGAGGTGGAATCGTATACTGACGATGATCTTTGGCGCATCGCCGGCGTAGAAGAGACCTTTCTCGACCCTCCCCCACCCTTGATCTCTAAAAAAGAAATCAAAAAGAAACGAAAGGAACAATTGACTCAAAGAAGAAATGAGAAAAAGGCCTCTGGATCCAAGGAGTCGCGTCGCAATGAAGCCACCGATGAAGAATTGGGCATCAATCTCGAGTCTGGGTCTGAGTCTGGGCTTACCAGTGATGACGAGTACGATCAAGACTACAACAATGAATTGCGCGCTGAGTATAAGAATCCCAAGCCTCATTCTAGGGATCGGGACTTTGCCAGAAAATACGCACTCTCAACATCCAATCTAGTAGAGCGTCTTCTGACTGCCACTCCAACACAAGCACTTTTGGGTGATGAATCGCCTATTCCGGCTCTACTCTACCGGCTTGTTCTCGACGATTTTTGGCAGCTTTTGGCAGAGATGCGATTGCAGCTTGATCATTTAGATAATGACCTGACAGCAACGCTGTACGAACAGCTTGTCGAATCTGTTGGCAACTCCACGCGGCAGAATCTTACCTGGATGCGGTCTACTCTGCAAGAATTGCGTGACTGGTCTAATCACTTGAGAAAGTCTGGGGCCACTTTGAAAGCAACCCTAGACATTCAGCAAGAAATTGAAGAATTGAATGCAGACGTTCAGGATCTACAGCGTCGAAGTGAACAGACAATGAACTTGCTAGTGTCGTCAATGACACTTGCCCAGTCGTCAACGGTTATTGAACAGACGTCTGGCATTAACAAACTCACCGAGCTGGCATTCTTTTTTATTCCCGTGTCATTCATTACGTCCGTCTTCTCCATGCAAGTTTCCGAGCTCACATCGGCCCCGCCACGAATCTGGATTTGGGGCCTCTCATTATCAGTCGTTGCCTTGGCGACCTATTTAATCCGGATATCACTGCGATCACCCTCCTTCCGTATCGTACTGTTGCATTTCCGAGCAACAATCATCAATCGGTTTTCTGCTCCCGGCGCAGGCACGGCCTCTAGGCGTCTAAACACGGTCGGCAATCGTGCAATCGCCAAATTTATATTCTTCTTCACCGCTGTCATGACCATGTTTTCCATGGTGATTATTCCAGTTTTGCTCCTTCTATTTCTTCTGATGGGGGGCCTCTGGCTTGGTTTCACAGGCGTGGCCTTGTACTTTATAGTTACCAGATGGCCCGAAGCTGCCGTGCTAGTCCCCTGCTTTATATCTATTCCGGTGGCACTTCTCGGGATGGCTGTCTGCTGGCACTGGCATGAAGAGATTTCGGACGGATGTCTGGCGGCGATAAATTGGAGCGTTGAATGGATAAAGTGGGTGTTTCCGGCGCAGTGGACGTTGGATACAGTGGATGATGAGGACTTGGCCAAGGAGGGTATCAATATTTACGCGCGGCAGGCGCTCGTGCTAGCGACATAGAATTGCAGGTGCCTCTGGTCCCATGGTTACATGACACAGGCAGGATGTGAGACCTAGTGTAACTGAAGCCATGGTACATCGCCGAAGCATGTTGTCGGTTTTACGGTGGGAGGCAAAAAGTATTTGGCCAGATCAGTGACCTGGCTGTCACGCTCTATATGATTACATATTATAGTATAATAAGTGGTAAAAAGTATTTAATCAAGTCAAGTACTTGGTGATTACGCTTTATATTATAATATACTAGTGTATACTTTCTTGGTGGGTAAACATATTCCGCTACAGACTGTAGGTCCTTTGGCCCTGTGTACCAAGTAGTGCTTGCAATGTCTATCAATTTTCTTCTTCTTCTTCGTATAAAGTTAATAATTACACCGTTTTATAGGTATTGGTCCACTTTCTAAGCATTCAGGTATGTATAACCCGCATAAAGAAGCGTCATTCTTGTGATGCGGGCGATTGCAAGCAGATGTACCGGACACAGTCCGACGCACAGTGCTCTTCCCGACGGTTCTTTCATACATAAATGTGTTCTATAGTAGATATGACGGGAGGTATTCGTACAGAAATGAAACAAGAATCACTCTTCTAGATCTTAACCAGCCTACATAGTGACTCTGCCATCATCAGCGAGACGTTGAGGCATCTTCAGAAACCAGCGCTAAATAGCTGCTGGCGTAACGTTTAGTGCAATGCCATTCATGCCAAAAGTTGTCCAAGTTGCGATGTAGTCTATATAAATCTAGTCATACAATGAGTCCTTGAATGAAATAACTTCCCCGTGAGTCCGCCAGCCAAAAACCACAGTACAAGTCTGCGACAATCCTTGAAACAAAACTCACATCCGTCCAGCTTTACAAACATGTGTTGGGCGCTAAACACCACTCAATGACCTCTCCGGATTCCTCCGCCCTCTGGGTCCTCAACTCACTCCCGGACACCGAGTACACACGCAACCCGCCCCCGGCGTGTCACTTTGGGCATGCGATTTCAACAATCCTCACCCGGCCGCAAACTTGGACAGGGCCCTCAGCCGAGGCCCCCAAACCCAAAATATGACGGGAGCCACCCACCCAATGGCAATGCTGAAGAAGGCCAGAATACTCGTCCCCCAGCCGTACCCCAGCTCCTCGTACAGGTACGGCGCAAACAGGGGGAACCCAAAGCCCGCCAAGCTCCTGAGAACCGCGCACGCGGCCATGGCGCTCGCCGCGTACGTCTGGTAACAGTCGACAATGTACATCTGCATGCCCTGCAGGCAGCAAATCACGCCGACGCTGCAGAGCAAGGCGCCGGCGTCGGGCATGATCCAGTGCGCGTGGCCGATGCTCCATCCGTACCAGAACAGGCCGACGGTCAGGACGACGGATCCAATGGCCAGGCTGGGCATGCGGAACTCGGGCCGTCCCACGCCGCCGTTCCTGCTCTTGAGAGCGCCGTAGACGCGGTCGACCATCTTGAGCTGCAGGAAGATGCCGGCAAAGCACCCGATGGCAATGGAGAGGTAGTTGAGCCCCCCCACGCCCTTGGACTGGCCGTACACCTTGGTCCAGATGTCGGGGAACGTGGCAAACATGAGGTACAGCGTGCCAAAGAGGTAGGCCATGTAGACGGCGATGCAGGCGACGATGGGCTGCGTGGCAAACATGCGGACGGGCCGCTGCACGGCGCGCAGCAGCGTGCGGCCAAGAGTCTCCTTGCCCTCGCCCGTGTACAGGTCCCGGTTGCCCGTCTCCCGGGCGAGGCGGGCCCCCCCGCCGCGGAGGGGGG